AATTCGTAAGATGTGCTGATGTGAGCCTGGCCACTGCCCTATTAGTTTGTCTGTCCATTTGAATTGACTATTTACCGCCACATCTTAGGTGTGTTTGGTGCATCTTGTAAAGCAACCAGTGAAGTTGATGTTTCTAAGCAAATGAGCTGCATTAGAATCTGTTGGAGCGAAACAGGAATATGTTATTTCGTTGATCGGTACTCTGAGAGTTGCGTAATTCTGCTACTCGATGAAGCATAATCAAGCTGATGTTCACCCATCATTTAGGTTGTAGCTTGATGCATATGATCGAGCAAAGGCTATACAGATTTTCATTTAACAATTGTGAGCTATACTACCACTAACATTGAACTTCCCCTCAGCGTTGTCGTCGAGAATAATTAGGTTTTCAAACAACCTATATGGGGAACAAATGGCTTATGCACAGCAGGTTGCGCTGCGGGAATCCCTGCCCCAAAATCACAATACCTAGATCATGTGTCCTTGGTTCGTGTTGGGTTGTGAATCTGCATTTGTGTAGCTGCTGTTAGAGGTGGAAATGTCGTGTTGATGTGTTGCATTGCAATGGTATTATAATCAGGCATGTAATTTTGGGAAGAAATCACAGAATACACTAGTTATTAAAAATATTTTCCAAAATACAGTAGTTTGATCATCACCGCCATGGACGAAAACATTGATATTGATCGCCGTCGTCATCAACAACGGTGAATGTATCACCGTTTTGGACAAAGGCGGTGAAACACTCACCGTTGTAGAGAAACACGGTGAACAGATCACCGTTGTTGTCTAAAATGGTGATCTTTTACCACGTTTTTCAACCCTAGTAAGTTGAAAATTAGGTCACAATGACCTAGCGTTCACCGTTCTCGTCAACAGCGGTGATACGTTCACCGCATTTGTCGACTGCGGTGAACAGCCCATATGGTTTGCTTATAAAACCCATCCCCTCACGTACCTGCAGCTGTCTTACAACAATTCAAACCAAAATTAGTGCAAAATTTCTTTTCTGACCTGGCTTACAGCAATTGCGATTAAAAAACTCCCTGGGATTCGGTATGTTATAATTATGTATTGTTTACATTATGATGTTTTAATAATTATTTGTCTCTATATAGTGAATTACGGTTAGTGGCAAATATGTTATGTTAGAGATATTTAGATTAATTATGGTATGATTGATGTTAGCTAGTTATGAATTTAGATGAATTTGTTTAGTATTCTCATGTTAGATTAGTTAATTGCGGTAGTTTATGGGTTTGGATGATATTATTTTCGTAACCCTAAATACTAATTATACTTTACTAATCTTATTCGAGTTAAGCTGATATTTACTTATTATAAATTGCAGACATGAGTAAATTTAATAAGTTTCGGCTTATTATTCAGTGGGGCGGTTGGGTAACAAATTCAGACATTGGAATCGATTATGAAGATGGCCAATCCGGTGAAGTGCCCGCTTTCCTCGAAGACGGTCACGCGTCTAGATCGCTGACGTGGCGAGCTGTGAAGCGTCGAATCTGGGAGAAAAACCAGAATCCACGCTTCACCTCATCGGACGGTAACGGTGAATGGCTTTCTCGATAGCTGACGTGGACAAAGGGGCATTCCCCTCATTTGTTTACAGCGGTGAATAGCCCGCGCTTGTCCACGTCAGCGATCCTCGTCCTCTCACCGTTGTCCTCCTAAACGGTCTTTATTTTCACAGTTTTAATCTATTGCGGTGATCTTATCACCGTTTCAATATATTGCGGTGATCTTATCACCGTTTTTGTCCAAAACGGTGAATGTTTCACTGTCTTAGACAACAGTGATTAACATCACTGTCTTGTCTATGGCGGTGATGATCAAAGTGCTATATTTTGGGAAATATTTTTGTAACTACTGTATTTTGAGAATTTTTTTTAATAACTAATGTATTCTGAGATTTTTTTCGTAATTTTGGCTATTACCAGCATTGCCATAACATGGGGTTGCCGCCCATGGTGGAGGTGGATACCCAGATGAGTATTGAGGGTACTGAGATTAATGTTGTGGATGGGAATAGTGGTGGACATAGGAATTTTACGTGGTGTCCTATTTTAAAAAATTAAATAAATGAAAATCATTAATAAAAATTAAAAAATTCTTAAATAAGAAAATACCTAACTCTTTAAAGTTATAAAAAATTCCTCGATGTGTTTTCATATTCAGAAAATAATTGTTGAATATACTTGGTGTCTACAGTGCTAAAAAAAGTTATCTATGCATATCCTACTAGACAATCGTTCACGAACTGACCATATATTCTATTTCTAAGTTCTTGATGCAATCCAAAACTGAAAAGACTCTTTCAACACTTGTCGTAAAATAATAAAATCAATACAAATTGAGGGTAGTTTGAAATTAGTTTAATTGTTAGGTTTTGAAAATAATTAGAGATAGAAAATGACATTTTACTATTACACAATGTTTAAAATTGAACAACAAATAAGTTTTACTCTAATGAAAATTATGTTTATTAATAATAATAGTACCCTAGATTTGAATTACCCAAACTATCACTTATATTCCCATATGCAAACTGAAAAATGAGAGTAGGATAATCATTTTCAAATTTCAGGGGTGTCCTCCACTATCAATTATAATTTTTTGTGCATACGTAAATTACCATCGGGGGTTGAATAATCATTTTACCAAAATTTAGGGGTGTCCTGGGACACCCCTAAAGCCCCCTGGGTCCGCCCCTGGATGGGAACTATTGTTTTCTTTTTTAACTGAACTGTTGTTTTCATGGTTAATAAGGTTGTGGTTGGGAATGAGACGGCGAAGAAGCATGTGGCTGGTGTGAGTAATGTTGAGGTTAAGGTTGGGTTTGTAGTTGTTGCGAGTGATGTTGAGGTTGAGATTGGGGCCACGATACTATCGTGGGAATTTTTATGTGCATAGGATGCTATAAATGAGAATAAAATAGCTAGGGTTGCTAGAAATTGAAAGGAATTGGAATTTTAGGGTTTTGGGTAGGTCAGATGGTGGAAGAATCGCCACACCATTCGGGATAAGGTTCGAGGCTAGGCACCACTACCAAGGGGATGATAAGCCTTAGAAATCACAAGAAAATATCTCTGGCAACTCTTCAAAACTCTTATTGAAGTTTGAATGAATAAAACTGAACTACATGGCTTCTATTTATAGAGAAGCTAACCCAAAAGACTACACTTAGAAAACTGAAAAGTAATCATTATACTACTAGGAAACAAATAAAACTCATAATTAAGAAAATAAATAAAGCAAACAATTAAGCATCTCCTCCAAATCCTTGTTGGACATGGATAGTTGTAGATATCCTCAATTCTCAACTAACACGTAGGTCATGCTTGCAGACCCATTTTGACCCATTTTGAATGCCCCCGATCTTTCTTTAAACCTCCTAATTTGTCTCTCAACCCATGGTTCATGTAGAGATAAAATTTGAACTCGATTAAGGTAGGGAGGTAGGGGGGGGGGGGGGGGGGGGAAGGCATTATCACATCATTTCCTCCCTCTTGAAAAAGATTTGTCCTCAAATCTTGTTGTGACACATAAATGTGTTTCCAAGGCTCCATTTCCTAACTTGAGTGTACTCCTTGTATATGAAGCTTATCCACAAACTCTTGAAGTCTTCGTCTTTCCATACTACGAATTTCCTTGTCTGGCACTCATCTCTGATAACAAACTCCATGAGTTCAGCAATTGCAGTATAATCGCCCATTTGAATTAAGTTGTACTGAGAAGGACTTGGACTATGTTTATAAACAAAATTTTATGTTGTTGGTTGACTTGAGGTTTTGAAGACCCACATGGACGAATTTTGGTGATGTCGGATGACATCTCGAATAAGTGACAACGCGTCTTGGACTTCTTCTGGCAAGATTATAACACAACCGAACGAATGGTTCTTTTCATCCTCACTAGAGCATCTGAAATGCAATTCTCTTTTGATCAACTTCTCTTTCGTATACTTAGAGCATATTTTCCTTTCTCTCCATATCTTCATTGTAATTGACAACCTTGCGTAGAATTTCATCTCCAATGGTGAACTTAACATGATTTGTAGATTCTTGAACAAGTGACAACTCTTCTGGAACCTCCCTTAAATTTATCTCAACATAATCAAAATCCATTTTCATGTTGGTGATAGGTATCACCTTCTCTTGATTTTATATTTCAAGTTCTGGTTCTTCTTGAGAAGGCATTAAAGCTTGTGTATCCCCTCCATAAGTAGCCATAACAACTATATCAACATGAACCTTATCCTTCTGTGGTTCTTCATATTTTGAACCTATTCTTTGACTTCTGATTTAGAAAGACTGGCAAGGAACTTCATTTGAAGGTATCTGTTTGTCGACTTTTATACTCCTTTCATCATTTTCACCACTTGATAGGGTATGAAGGTAAAACCTAATACTTGGAGAAGGTTCACAAGAAGAGTCCAAGAGAAGCCAAGATATAGGGGGTAAAAACCCTAGAGGCTTACATCATCATAAGAAGAAGAAAAGGTTAAGAGACAAGTTGGCACACCTGACGTCAGCAAGGAATAGGTCAGGGGGACGCCCTCTACACCACCTGACACCTCTTGACTAGAAGTACAATGTACCGAGACAGAGAGTCTGAGGTTCATGTACCACACACATAACATCCAGACTTGTATAAAGATGAGTGTTATCCTCATGAATGACAAGCTATCTACATTTACTACAACTTCTCTCTACTTTCTCTCTATAGTATTTTCCCTCGTGCTCTAGCTAAGAGTGGGAGGCGCCTACACTCTCAGAGTCATGTCTATCACCCAAACCCCTCTTTGACCCGAGCGACCCCCTATCACTTAGACATGACTTTGAAAGACGCTTCCACTCAAAGAAGACACAAGAGAAGAGCACACCTCCAAACAAAAAGTCCCCTTAGGAAACTAATCGGTCGGGAGACGCCTAATCCATAAGCGTTTACTATAGAAGGACTTGAACCATCCAATGACGAGGACGTGCCAACAATAGTAGAAGAAACCAAATGGTTGGGACGCGTCCTTACCAAACTTCAAGATACGCAAGGGGAGTAGAGGGCGAGCATGCAGGGGCAGCTCGACTAAGCATGTTGGTGCTCTCAGGAAAATGACATACTCTTGTACCACCCCCTGCTCAAATCACCCGGGACGAATGTTTAATGCTCAAAGAGAAGGCAATTTTGATGGAGAATGAAGTGGTAACACTGTTGGATGCCAACAATGAAGAGGAAAGACCAGGCGCCACACAAGATGAGGATGTGCCCAACCAAATAGATAAGAGGTTGAGCGCCTAAGGCGCCACCTCACCAATTTTCAAGAGACTAACTTTCTCTTGTCTATGGACTAGCTAACACACATTATGTTAGTGAAACCACGTAAATATGTGTGTTCTTTATTTTATTGCATTGTCAATTTCCCAATCCACAGTGTCGTTTGGAAGTTGTGATTTCAAATGGTGTATTGAGCCAATTCATGTATTTGTGAGATTAAGTCATTTTTTGGCTTATATTGAACTAGAATACATGCATTAACTTTTTGGAGACCCCACCACAATCACTCATAATTGAGGGATTATCAATCTCTACTTTTGTTGAGATTCTTCACATTCACTCAAAATTGACTTTTGTGGCTTAACAACAAACCGCAATCTAAACCTCCAAACAAGATATTTTCCTAATACATCAATTAATTCAATACATCAAATGATAATACAGTAATTGACTCAATACATCCATTTGAAGAATAACTAAATTCATTTTGATTGTCTCAATGCATACAAAGCCTTGCTTCTATGTAAAAGCAAAATGATGTGGTAAAATCAGAGACGAGAATGGAGGAGAAGTAGCAATGAATTAGAGACGAGAAATTCATAAAACGAAAGACTGAAAAAAATATTTTGACTAAGAGAACAAATAAAATTGTATAATTTTTTCTCTAATGGCCAACAAAACAAAACAAAACCCGAACCGATATGGTAGTGAGTTCATGGTTTGTTCAAGAGCATGCCAAATTGAACCAAATCGAAATCGAAACCGAACCACATCAACCAAATATATTGCAGTCCGGACCTGTCCATGATCCATTGAATTTTAGAAATACTGAAGGGAAATGGGGTCGATTGGTATTTGGACTGGACCTAACCATATCACACTTGACCAATTGCAATGTTGGTTCGGTCCTTGGTACTAAACTTTTTTTTTTTTACTTTTGCCCGCTATGCTCAAGGTTTGATCTGGTCTAGTCCAATCCAATTGAACCATTGCACACCCCTATAGTTTGTAAATGTACTAATCATTTACATTAGTTGAATCTACCTCTTCAATACTTACTACATTGATGCATGCAGGGGAATATTACATTGTTGTTGGTCATATTTGTGATATGATCGCTAATTGGGCACTAAATGTAAGACAATGCATTGTCCAACAGATTATTTTATGATCACTCTACAATCTACATCATGCACTATACCTTTCAAATCCTGCAATTTATGGTCCGCAATCTATGTTGTGATCAACAAGGATGATATATATTGGGAAAAACTTTAGAGACATACTGAACATCATAGAACATATACATTGGGTTCAAGATAGGGTGCATAACCAAATCTGGACCCTTCATTTAGAAAATTCAGATCTAAGGATGGATAATTAAATGTCATTTTTATGTTCCTTAACTTTCTTAATCATCTCATATCTTTTTTGTTTTAACTCGAATTTTAATTTTTTTTGCACAGATGGAACGAGTTCATCGTGCTCTACAAAATGAGATCAATTTTTAATATTTTTTGAGAAAAAAAAATTATGGCCTCTCGGTACCAACTACATACCATATGGTATTTTCTTCGTTTTTAATTCGTTTTTGAAAACGTTTGCATAGAAGGGACGAGTTCATCATGATCTATTGGATCTACAAATTTATGGGTGAACAAATTACAGGACCAAAAAATACCACACAATACCATACAATACCACCCTGGTACGAGGTGGTATCTTGTGGTACACAATGTTAAAAATCGTAAATGACAGTTAATATACTTCTACTATCATGTATTCAACCATCCTACAGTCTTGGTTTATTCATATAACCATGATACGCTTTTCAAACAATAGATATGCTCTTATTTCAATACCAGCCAATACCATATGGTATAGACTGGTAAAAAATGACACAATTTTTATTGTTCGGAAAATATATCAAAGTGGATATCATTTTGAAGAGCACAATTAATCTGATCTAACTGTGCAAAAAAAAAAAATTAAATTTCGACTTAAAACGAGTGAGAAATCGTCCGTCAAAGATTAAGAATGGGAAAATTAAAGGCTTTCTAGGAAAGAGATGCTGATGTAGACGGGTTACTCATTGTTACTTACCATACCGTTCCTGAGTCCTGACCTGATCCGTTCCATGTGTCATTTTTATTGTTATACATATTACATTTGTCATTTTTATTTTGGATAGAACTTTGTCATTTTTCAATTACGTGGTAGTTGATAAGAATATTTTGCATAATTGTACGACTTGATTGTAGTAAAATATTGAAGAAAATATATATTATATGAATCAACAATACATGCAATATACATAATTATCAAATTCTCCTGCCAACGGACGGGCTCAAGATAGGGTGAGTAACCTTAGGTTGAGTAACAATGAGTAACCAAATCTGGATCTTTCTTTTAAGTGGTTGCAGATTTAAGGGTGGAGAATTAAAGAAATTTATTTTCCCTAGTTTTCTTAATTGGATCATATCTTCTTCATTCTAACTCGGATTCAATTTTTTTTGCACAGATGGAACGAGTTCGTTGTGCTCTACAAAATGATATCCATTTTCAATATTTTTTGAGAATTTTTTTTCATCCCTCTCGTTACCAACTCTATACCATATGGTATCTCCTTCGTTGTTTAGTAATTTTCGGAAATTTTTGCACAAAAAGAACGATTTGATCATGATCTATTGGATTTCAAAGTTTTCTGGGGGAAAAAATTCTATACCTCTCGTTACCAACTCCATACCATACTATACCATCCTGGTATGAGGTGGTATTTTTCATACCATATTGTATGTTGTTATTTAATACCAGTCAATACCATATGGTATTGACTGGTAATAACTGGAAATTTTTTTTTGTTCCAAAAAATATCAAAGTGGATATCATTTTGAATCGTTACCAACTCCATACCATATTATACCACCCTGGTATGAGGTGGTATTTTTCATACCATATGGTATGATGTTATTTAATACCAGTCAATACCATATGGTATAGTCTATACCATATGGTATTGACTGGTAATAACTGGCAAATTTTTTTTGTTCAAAAAAATATCAAAGTGAATATCATTTTTAAGAGCACAATTCATCTGATCTAACTGTGCAAAAAAAATTAAATTCCGAGTTAAAACGAGTGAGAAATCGTCCGTTAAAGATTAAGGGAAAGGAAATTAAAGATTTTTCCAGGAGAGAGAAGGAGGCGCTGATGTGACATATTCTTATTGGGTTATGCATGAGGTTACTCACCATAAGGTTACTCACCGGATCTACTCCCCCAAGCCGAGGCTCAAGATAGGGTGAGTAACAATGAGTAACTAAATCTGGACTCTTCTTTTATGTGGCTGCAAATCTAAGGGTGAAGAATTAAAAGAATTTATTTTCCCTAGTTTTCTTAATTGGATCATATCTTCTTCATTCTAACTCTGATTTCAATTTTTTTTTGCACAGATGGAACGAGTTCGTTGTGCTTTACAAAATGATATCCATTTTCAATATTTTTTGAGAAAAAAATTTTCATCCCTCTCGTTACCAACTCCATACCATATGGTATCTCCTTCGTTGTTCAGTCATTTTCGAAAAAAAATTCACAAAAGGAACGATTTAATCATGATCTATTGGATTAAAAATTTTCTGGGGGAAAAAATTCCATACCTCTCTTTACCAACTCCATACCATGCTATACCACCCTAGTATGAGGTGGTATTTTTATACCATATGGTATGCTGTTATTTAATACCAGTCAATAGCATATGGTATTGACTGGTAATAAATGGCAAATATTTTTTGTTTCAAAAAATATCAAAGTGGATATCATTTTGAATCGTTACTGTTGGGCATGTGACTCGGATTCCGCCGCGCCAAAGAAACACAGACACCAAGAGACGGGCGCACCAGCATCGGCGCGAGCAAGCACACCGCCAAGTGTCAATACCAAGAGGCGGGCGCGCCAGCACCGGCGCGAGCGAACACATAGGCGAGCGCAAATACCTAGAGGCGGGCGCATCAGCGCCGGCGCGTCCAAGGGCAGCCTGAGTCCAGTATTGACTGAATTAGCGAGTACGGGAAACGACGCCGTGTCCCACCTATCGGGTAGTCACATCACAGTCCTAGGTATAATGAAAGGCTAAGTGTACTTGTTCTAGGTAGGGATATGGCCTAGTCTCCTGACATGTCAGTAGTCATGTCACCATGACAGGACACCATGTAACTCACCCACCACCATGTAGCCTATAAATAAGGCATTTACTCCGGTGGGTGAGGAGATGGGATTTTCCAGACTCTATCTCTAGAAAAAGAACAGACTTCTCTCACTAAAAGATAACTCTCTCAGTTTCCTTCTTTCCTTTCTTTGTTCTTGGATCCACGGCAGATTCTCATTGCTTATTCTCCTCAACCCATTTCCCCGAACCTCACTCCTACACCCAGTTAGGTTCAAACAGTTACCAACTTCATACCATACTATACCACCCTGGTATGAGGTGGTATTTTTCATACCATATGGTATGCTATTATTTAATACCAGTCAATACCATATGGTATTGATTGGTAATAACTGACAAATTTTTTTTTGTTCCAAAAAATATCAAAGTGGATATCATTTTGAAGAGCACAATTAATCTGACTAACGGTGCAAAAAAAATTAAATTTCGAGTTAAAACGAGTGAGAAATCGTCCGTTAAAGATTAAGGGAAAGAAAATTAATGATTTTTCCAGGAGAGAGAAGGAGGCACTGATATGTCAGATTCTTATTGGGTTATGCATGGGTTACTCACCACAAGGTTACTCACCGGATCTGCTCCCTGGGAATGGATAGGTCAGTAACCTTATGATAAGTAACCATGAGTAACCCGTCTACATCAGCATGACATCAACATCTTCTCTCTCCTGGAAAGTCTTTAATTTTCCCCTCTTTAATCTTTGACGGACGATTTCTCACTCATTTTAAGTCGAAATTTAATTTTTTTGCTCAGTTAGATCAAATTAATTGTGCTCTTCAAAATGATATCAACTTTAATATATTTTTCGAACAAAAAAAATTGAGTCATTTTTTACCAGTCTTTACCATATGGTATTGACTGGTATTGAAATAAAAGCATACCTATGGTTTGAAAAACGTATCATGGTGGTATGAACAAACCAAGACTGTAGGATGGTTGGATACATGATAGTAGAAGTATATTAATTGTCATTTACGACTTTTAACATTGTATACCACACAATACCACCCCGTACCAGAGTGGTATTGTATGGTATTGTGTGGTATTTTTTGGTCCTGTAATTTGTTCACCCAGAAATTTGTAGATCCAATAGATCATGATGAACTCGTCCCTTCTGTGCAAACGTTTTCAAAAACGAATTAAAAACGAAGAAGATACCATACAATACCACCCCAGGGTGGTATTGTATGGTATTGTGTGGTATTTTTTGGTCCTGTAATTTGTTCACCCAGAAATTTGTAGATCCAATAGATCATGATGAACTCGTCCCTTCTGTGCAAACTTTTTCAAAAATGAATTAAAAACGAAGAAGATACCATATGGTATGCAGTTGGTACCGAGAGGCCAGAATTTTTTTTTTCTCAAAAAATATTGATAATTGATCTCATTTTGTAGAGCACGATAAACTCGTTCCATCTGTGCAAAAAAAATTAAAATCCGAGTTAAAACATAAAATATATGAGTTAATTAAGAAAACTAGAAAAAATAAAAATGATCTTTAATTCTCCCTTCTTAGGTCTGAATTTTCTAAATAAAGGGTCCAGATTTGGTTATTGATGGGTGCATAACATGGTTGTCACGCCGGCCGGCGTGCCACTGATTGAACCTGTACCGGTCATAAAAGTATGACACCACTGGTATAACCAGCATGATCGATATATGAATCTCCAAGTATCTTAGTGAATTTAATTGATAACAAGTAATTTATTATTTATTTTATGTGTTAAAAAGTTAAATGTTGATGTTATTTGTTGGATTCAAGTACAAATATTTAGATATTGGCGTTAAATGTCGTGTTTAAATATGAGTATTTGTAAATTATTTGTAATATTAACCAGCATGAACTGGCACAAACCGGTATGTATCACCGGTCGAACCATTCCATTTGCTAAACCGGCACACTGGTATAAACCGGTTTGACAATGTTGGTGCATATTGAGCCCCGATTTGGTGCTAGTTTGGTAAAGAAAACTGTTTGAATTGCTCGTGTCACTCTCTCCACGTCTTCCCTGTCCGTCTGTACATATTCATTCATTTGACTTCCAGAGAGAGAGATAGAGGAAAAAAAGAAAAAGGAAAAAGAAAGTAAACAAAATAACCCCTCTCCTTCCCCACTCCTTTCCTTCGCTCTCCCTCCCTGTCTGCGCGTTCCTCTTCAAGCGTCGCGCCGGCGGGAAGGAAATCGTAATAGCATACTAGCATTACTGGTTACTGCGTCGAAAGCTAGGGTTTTGTTGCTTCTTTCTCCAGTTCGCGGAGCAGCAGAGCAAGGTGGCGGTTGCTAAAGAATGCCGTTGACGAGGTACCAAATAAGGAACGAGTACGGCTTGGCCGATCCAGAGCTGTACAGAGCTGCCGATAGAGATGATCCCGAGGCTCTTTTGGAGGGCGTTGCCATGGCTGGCCTCGTCGGTGTATTGCGCCAGCTCGGTGACCTTGCTGAGTTAGTCCTCTCCTCTCTTCTCTTCCGTTGGTGGATTTTTCTTGCATTCTCACTGGTCAATGCCACTTCAATTGTGGCTGATTTCCCGTACGATTTTCTGCTGACGGAAGCTTGAATTAATTTTTTTCACTTTTGGATGGCCGATTTGATACATTCGAGGTTTCAATTTACTGGTGGAGTTCAATTGATTCCCCTCACATTCAAAGTTGTAGTTCTTGGCTCGTTTAATTTGTGCTTATCTCTCCGAGGTGGTGTTCATATTTGGGTTTGTTGGATGTGTATGAAGGTTTGCTGCTGAGATATTTCATAACTTGCATGAAGAAGTAATGACAACTGCGGCAAGAGGCCACAGTCTAATGGCTCGTGTTCAACAACTGGAGGTCGAAGTTCCTTCAGTTGAGAAGGCATTTCTGTCTCTAACTGACCACTCATCGTTCTATGCAAACGGAGGTTAGCTATATATCTATCTGCTGACTTTCCAAGAATTAGGCTCTAGCTCTTTCCTAGTTATCAACTCTCATAGAACTTTTCCGGAGTTGGTAGTGTTTACCCGTAGCTGTCATAGAGTTTCCTTTTGATCCCTGTTTGGGAAAGGCTGTAACCTTTGCCATTACCCATTTAGCAGCAGGTGTCGATTGGCGTCCTAATCTGCACATGGAACAGAATCTGATAACTCAGGGAGACTTGCCTCGCTTTGTAATGGACTCTTATGAAGAATGCCGGGGTCCTCCAAGGCTATTTTTATTGGACAAGTATAGTTTCTGAAATTTCCTTGCTGTGTAAACGTTCATGGGGAGCCTACAGTTGAATTAATTTGTGGGGAGTTCTGATGTATTGTCTGGCTGGGGTGGCTGCAGATTTGATGTTGCAGGGGCAGGCGCATGTTTGAAGCGTTACACTGATCCATCAATCTTTAAAATTGAAGCAACATCATTTACTACAATGGAAATGCAAAGAGAGAAGAAAGCTCGAAAACTGAAGGTATGAGGATCATTAGGGTCCTCATTTTCTTCAGTACACTTTAAGGATTTTAGCTTTTGGGCGACCCTGGTGTTATGTTATCCTGGATCTGAATGATGCTTCATATTTTATTAATCTGGTTCTTTGTCTTGCAGAAGAAAGGACGGTGGAGGAATGGAGAAACTCCAGAAGTTACACCAGCATCACATGCCAAGTGGGACTTGTTTATCTTATTTCACTGCTTGTATATGTGCATACCTTGCTTGTTCTGTGATTTTAACATTCTTGCAAATTACTGCAGATTGCATCAGCTGTTCCTGGAAGAGCGTGTTGCAAATGGCCATTCTGATCCAGCTCGTGTAGTAAAATTGAAAAGAAGGCAGTTAAATGGATCTCCATTTGATATGAAATCGGGGAAAAGCTACATGGAGAAATTCCTGGAGACTCTATCACCAGATAATAAAGCAGTGTATGAAGATTCTGTTAATCCACCACTCTCGACTTTAACTCAGTATGAGTACAAAGAATCAGGACTTGAGATTGTTGAGATTACCGCTGTTAGTCCTGTGAAGCCACAGGTTGATGTACTACAACATGATGAGTTCAATGGGGAAGATCCTGATAAATGGTTGGTGAAGGTCTCTGATACCGTCACTGATTGTGAAACCGATGAATCATCTCCTTCTTCTGTTCACAAGATGCCAATTGGACAGGAATTAGCTATTTATGCAGGCGGTGGGAAAAGTGATAGTTCAGAAGGGGACCAATTTGACGACATGATCAGTGAGGTGGAAAACTACATGGATGCTCTCACAACCATGGAGTCAGAATTAGAGACTGATACTGAATACAAATTTAAGAAAGATGGCGTCTTGAAATTTGCGAGACGTGAGGCAGAATCTGATATCAATCAGGAAAGACAGCATGACATTCAAGTGAAGTTTCTGAATTCTCAGTCGTTTGGTAACTCCTCAGCGTCTGACGATGGAAACAGTTCAATATACAAAGGAGGGTCTAGTATTTCGGTATCCGACTCTCAGAGCCATGCGGCTGACAATGTGCAATCTGATGGGGAAGGGCCATCAAAAGTTTGCTGTTCTCGGGAAGATAGTATCCCGGAGACTTCCACGTTGCAGTCAGACTGTTCATCTCCTTGTATGGTGGCTTGCACAATCCAAGAATCCCACGAGCTTGAGGTCTCGACTGATATCTTTTCCGTAGAAGAGAAAATCAACAAGCTAGTGCCAACTATTTCTGTTGCAAATCCGTTCACGGTGTCTTTAGCAGGAGAAGATTCAGGTAAAAGAACACAAGTAGATGGAGTTACTACTCCTGGATTAGAAGCTGATCTTGAGACCAACGTAAATCTAGATAGTTCTTCTGTGGGTTCATCTGAAATACCATGGCATACAAAGCAGGTGGTTGCTCCTTCGAAAGGTTCTTCTGAGTATAACTCCATGAGTGACCAGCAGCAGGAAGATGCTAAAGCTTTGCCTTTATATTTGTCATATCTAGATTCTGTGCAGAGCAGCCATGATGATCACGTGTCAGAAACAAGTTACTCGGGTGATGCTGGAAATGTGATCCCTCATCAGTTGCCATCTGAACATGAGAACATGGTTGAAGAAGCAACAAGGGTCAATGATGTCAATGGTGCACTCCTAAAAGCCACCTTACTATCTGGATCTCAGTTCGCTCAATCAGGCCATTTGAATTCTGAGCCGGAGACGAAAAAACTAGAAGAAGATATTTCTGTTGTTTCAGGCAAGGAGGAAATGTTAAGTGAAGCTAATGCAGATGGCATTGTTGCAGAAGATTCTTATGAGTGTTTTGATGAATCTGGTCTACGGGATCTGACTGACATGCACAACACTATAACCGAGGCTGATCAACTGAAGGATGTGGTTACACCTGCATCTATCCCACCTGCTAGTGATGAGCATGGATATGATACTATTTGTCCGTCATCCAAAGTGATTGGATCTCCATCTAGCCATCCATCATCGGATGACCAACATCAGACAGCGGTGGACCTTCACCAGAAAATTTCCTCAGAAACTGAACCTGAGGCACAAAATGAAGTCATTCCAAAAGATAGAGAATTCAGTCACGGTGAATCCATCTTCGGTTACCCTTCTGAATTTGACGCAACTGCTCATGTTTATTCTGCATACCCTGTTTTACTAGTGAGTGTAGGCGCTGTTGATGCCAGTGGAGAACAAGTTTCAGGAGTCGATGCCGATCACAGTGTGCTGGAACCACAACCTGTCTTTAGTTCAAAAGAGGCATCTGAAGGTGATGGTTTATTCCCCATAGCAGGAACACTAGAAATGTCAGCAGTTCATGTTAATGAAGTAACTTTTGAGTCTGAAGAGTATTCTACACATGATATGGAATCAACTTCAGATCCCTCCTATTTAGCAGAGTCGGGAATAACTTCTGAGCGGGTATGGGATTTGCATCCTGATCAAACTGATGAGAGTTGTCCAGAACCAGATGAGGCAGGAGGCTTTACATCATCAAATCTTCAGTTCAAAGACATGCAAACTTTGCCTCCTGGACTGGGCACACTCTCCACTGCAAAAGACGTGAATGTAGATGAGGCTCCACCGTTGCCACCTTTACCTCCTATGCAATGGAGAATGGGAAACTTTCAACCTGTTTCACCTTCTTTGCAGACTGCATATTTTGGCCACTGTAATAATCTACCAATGCAACCATTTTCTGCTGACGAGCACACCAAGCCTTCACACCCATTCCCAACTAACATTATTGAAGATTGTCAGATGGTTCAATGCTTATTTGTGGATGATTCAATAGGGAATTCCGCGGAGCAGCAGAATCACACATCATTTGAATTGGCATCACTAGCTAATGCTGCAAATATCGAACAAGATTCACATCAGCCTTCATACACATTCCCAAGTAACATTGTCGAGGATAGTCAAAAAGTTCCCTGTTTACCTATGGATGACTCAGTAGAAGATACCTTGAAGCAGCCAAATACCTTATCAGTTGAATTGCAATCAGTTGCTAATGCTGCAATTCTGAAACAGGAATCACACCCATTGGAAGAACTGGATCCTCTAAACCCATTTGTTACCTCGGAAGAAATACCAAATGAGAGGCCTGAGCTCAGTGATTTTCCATCAGGTGAACCGGAGCAATCTAGTTCAGAGTCCTTCCCATCTGCAACATCCATGGCCAATGCATCTTCAGAAGCTGAGCTTGTGTCCTCCTTTCAGGAGGAGGCTCCTGAGGAATCTTTACCACCAGGATCTTTGGCAAAGGAGCAACAACAGCAAAAGGTGGTTGCATCTTATGGAGGAGGAACATCGTGGCCTCCGACAACATTAGCCCTGCCACCTTCCTATGAACTTGGAAAGGCAGCAAATGGCAACAAGCTCCCTCGCCCTAGGAATCCCCTTATTGATGCTGTTGCTGCAGTAGATAAAAGCAAGGTAAAATTTTTCAGCTCTGGACCTGAGTTTTGACAAATGCTGTATGCTTTCCTATGTGATGCCTATGATTGTGCACACTGCGTAGTCCCTGCCTTTTCTTATATTTGGGAAAATTCTGCAGTTGAGAAAGGCAGCTGAAAGGGTTCAGCCACAGGCTAGCTCAAACGCAGAAGAAAGGGATTCGCTACTAGAACAGATCCGGACAAAGGTAAGTTTCCTTACCCTTTATACCTTGCGGGGATCTTGTTCCTGTTATTGTGTGCTGAATTGGGTGTCCTCTTATTTTGGTCAATCTCCAGTCGTTCAATTTGAAGCCCGCAGCAGTGAGTAGGCCTAGTATGCGTCCTAGCATGCCTGGTATTCATTGTCCTAAAACCAACTTGAGAGTTGCCGCCATCTTGGAGAAAGCAAATGCAATCCGCCAGGTCCTATCTCTCTCTCTCTCCTCAGATTCTCGAGTTTATACTCTATCCAGAACATGTAGGGTTTATTTGTTAGTTATAAAATGTTTTATACTAGTGACTTTTGAGTGAAATTATATTTGCAATGCGCACGTTAATGAGGGTTGATTTGGTGATAATAGGCATTGGCTGGGAGCGATGAAGATGATGATGATAGTTGGAGCGATTCTTGAGCTTAAGTTGCTCAACAAGTTACCATACCATGGTGATTGTTTCTGTGGTAGTAAATATCTTGTTCGTTGTAATGACTCGGCATGAGTTCTGGTTTGCCCTCTAGTTTAGCTGTATTCATTTTGGCGAGGTTGGTTCTCCAGGCAAAGCATTCTTTATAGAAAGACGACTGCGGATCAGCGTACAAGCGCTCCAACCAATCAAATAGTAATCCCATATACAATTGTATCAAATATATCTTGACAGTGTAAATAGCGTTGCCATAGAAAGTTTTTTTTTTTGTTGTGTGTGTATTATCATAATTTTCCAGGAAAATTTAGTTACCTTCTGTATTTAGTCTTTAAGTTGATGCTTAAACCACAGTCATGGTTTGGGATGTTTTGTTTTGGGCGTATAGAGCTCAGACCTTGAAAATGTACACGATACTGTAACTAAAGGATGATACGTTGGCTGCGGTTAACTATGCAGTAAATGGAGTTTCTACGTCTCGTCGGTCTTTTCGCTTGGTGTTGTTGCTGGTGTTGCTGTGCAGTCTAAATTGGATAGCGAGTTTGATTTGATTACAAACTGGATGATCTTTAAAGGAAATGGAGATTGGATAATGCGTTGGCAAGTACAGGATGTCTATGTATGCTTCCATTTTAAGCAAACGTGGAGGCTAACTGGCTAAGGCAACTCAGCGCCATTTGGATTATTTTGTATTGACTCACTTATGGTTTGGGCTCCGCTCCCTGTGTAAATTTGACATCTCATTGTGTGAAATAACAATAATAAGTAACAAGGCTTTCCTTGTGGTCCACCATATCCTTTTGGTTTTAGCATAGAAAATGAGGGAAATTTTCTATTTAAATATGCCGAAGCTAGCGGGAAAAAATCCCAAGTTACACATGTTTTTAAAAAAAATTCTCAAAATACACACGTTATGAAAATAATTCCCAATCTACGCATGTTCGGGCCATCACCGCTGTCGACGAAGACAGTGATTGCATCACTGCAGTACACGGCCGCGGTGAAGGCCTGACCTGCGTCGAAACTTTAAACAAACGTAACTTTGTGCTCGGTTATCCGATCGTAGTGAAATTTATTTTGATTCCGCATAATTTTTCGAGATCTTGCAAGCCGCATATTTCCGTAGGCGGTTTGGTCCCGCCTTCGTCTCGAAAATATGTCGTTTGCTACTCCGAACGAGCCTTTTTTCGATTTCGTCAAACTTTGAACTACCATAACTTTGTGCTCCACAATCCGAAAATCATGAATTTTTTTTTGATTTCGCATAACTTTTTAAGGACTACAATTTTTATCATAGACATATTTTCGGAATGTACTTGGATTCCTGAAAAGGAAGGTAAAGTTATTCCCAAAACCCCTTATATCCATAAATAATTCATTTTTTGAAAATTCTCTTCTAATAAAAATTGTAGTCCTTAAAAAGTTATGCGAAATCAAAAGAAAATCATGATTTTCGGATTGTGGAGCACAAAGTTATGGTCGTTCAAAGTTTGACGAAATCGAAAAAAGGCTCGTTCTGGGTAGCAAACGACATATTTTCGAGACGAAGGCGGGACCAAACCGCCTACGGCAATTTGCGGCTTGCAAGATCTCGAAAAATTATGCGGAATCAAAATAAATTTCACTACGATCGGATAACCGAGCACAAAGTTACGTTTGTTCAAAGTTTCGACGCAGGTCAGGCCTTCACCGCGGCCGTGTACTGCAGTGATGCAATCACTGTCTTCGTCGACAGCGGTGATGCAATCACTGTCTTCGTCGACAGCGGTGATGGTCCAAACATGCGTAGATTGGGAATTATTTTCATAACGTGTGTATTTTGAGAATTTTTTTTAAAAATATGTGTCACTTGGGATTTTTTCCAAGCTAGCGTGAGCAGCTAGGTTTTTTTGGCCAATAATCAACAACACAGAAAACATAATGGAGGACACTAAATTAGGTGAGAACCATACTCCTCGTGTGGATGAATCAACTCTTCTAAACGACAAGGGAATTTTTAATCTTGAGCACCACAATCTGGAAGATCTCTTACTGCTACAATAAAAAAGATATTATGAAGTTAAGATTTGTGATACATATAAAGCGTTCGACTTTAGGAGGGACTATGAGCTGGCTACTGACTTTGACGTAAGCAGGGGAAAATGGGTCGAAATAAGAACAAAATGATAATATGACATCGGTTTGTATGTCCTACTCATGGAATATAGCGCGAGCCAACGAACGAACGAAAGAGGGAGCCGAAAGGAGAAACAAAATTCTTCCACGAAGCTAAGATGCACGTTAGATTTGATGCAACTAAATCGAACTAGTTTGTAGAAAGTTCTTATAACGCCCACACTCATCAACCGATTCCCAAATAATACAGACACTACATGAAAAGGACCGACAATGAGTGATGTAGTTAACGTAGTCATTAATTTACGAAGAGCTGCAGCCCGTAGGCATGAACACGCATCAAATTGTTTCTTTGTCCATACCAATACCTATTGGAGAAGACCACAAGTATGTGAAACCACACCACAAACACTACTAAAGCTAACCAGAAAGTACAGAAGCCACACTATGAGCGCTGAATAGTAGATCTACTTGTCTAGGCACAAAGGTGATGAAGAGAGTAAAAAAAAACCCTAATCAAAGATGCCACAACAGTTAAAACATATTGCAACCACAAGTATACATGCGGTTTTGAGTGTCAATGGAAGGATTGAATGGTTGCCAACGGCGAGGAGTCGTTGGGACTAAAGAGTAATGATTTCATTTACGCAGAGGCTGCTGGTCACTGCAGTTGTGTTTACGCAGAGGCGGATTGCTGCGGTTGGTTTGCATTGAGGTGGATTGCTGGGGTTTTCACAGTGGAGCGAGGTTTTTGAACTTTTGAAGTTGAGAGAAATAGTGGTGATGGGTAGGGCTGGAAGTTTGGTACCGGTATTTGGGATATATCGAATATAGTATCGAATTTGTTTATATTTGGTATTACCGAATTCACATATTATTTCATGGGATTGAGATTGCGATTGAATTTCAATTGTTATTCGGTATTAGGGATTACAGGATTGGCATCGGTATATACTGAAATGCCGATCAATTCCGAAATATAAGCTAATGTGTATTTTATCCTCTCAACTAGACTCTCTTATTCACTACTACGCTACCCTCAACCACCAAGAGTGTCATTTAATTATACATAGATCATTACATCACTATTTCACACTAGTATTAGTCGTCTCTCGACCTCAAATTCGTCAAATTAAAGATTACCCATTAGAAGAACTTGAGATGTTAGCTCTAGACAACTCAAGACTCTTTGCTTAGCCTCTTTGCCTTAAATTAAAGAATAAAATCTAATTTATATATTTAATCATTAATTGCAAAGGTAATTAATTTTGTATTCTATAATACCGATTGGGATACCGAAGTACCGATTGGGATACATAAATATTTAGGGATTGGGATTGGGATACCAAAATTATTTAGGGATTGTGATTGGGATTGATTTTAGAGTGTAATTCGGTATTCGGGATTTCGGTATTTGGTATTGGGATACCGATACCGTACCGATTTCCACCCTAGTGATGGGTGCAAATTTAAACTGACCAAGTCCACGTGTCAAATACTCATTTTATTCTAAGGTAAACCGCGACCAGGTTGTGCGGTTTCTATATTAACCGCCCCTTAGTTGAGCGGTTTATAATAAACGGTGGTATTTTTGGAAATTCTTGTGAATGAGTGGTATTTTTATAATTTTTTTAAAGACAATGATAGTTTTGGTTTTTTTTTCCCGCAAAGATCATATTGATCAATATGTTCCACCAAGAATAATGCACAAGCAAACATAAACAATATGCAGAGAACTTTGAATGAGATGAGAACAAAACACAGGATGTTTTTGTTAATAGAATTCAGCCCTATGGCTTTACGTATATGTTCAAAGGTGGCTCATACTTTGAGAACTTGTTTCCCAGGGGTTTCTTTCTTATTCCGATATCTAACTTCCAGACGAGTTCCTACGAGTGGAACTCAAATCCTTAACAGAACAGAGCAAAATAATAATATCTTTTTCACCACAAGCTCTCAGCCGAAGTAAGGATTTGTCCCATTTAAATTGTGCTCGAGTTGCATTTTGGTTCCAAAATGAGGGTTAAGGTTGATATGTTAATTCATACAACTGCAATAACTCACTCATCTAAATGAATACATAATTAATTTAACACTTTGACAAGTTTTTTAAAACTTTGATAAGTGCTTCCACCAAAAAGAACTTTTATAAGTACATATATGAGGTAGAAATATTTTTTTTTTAAATTTGTAAGAGTTAATACCACTACAAAACCCGAACTATGACAAAAATGTCACTTATATCTCAAAGTATTCAGTATTCCATTTATGTCATTAACTATCTTTCCGTTAATGTACTGACTTTGATCGTCTACATTTAATAGAAAACACAGTCATAGTCTACGTGGCATCTCACATGTAGGGATGACAACAAAACCCGAACCCACGGGTACCCATCCGACCCAACCCGGTCAACGTGGGTAAAACCCGTGTTGACGGGTTTTGGGCCGGGTTCGGGTTTAAACCCGCTACACTATTCACCGGGTCGGGTTGGGTTTGGGTTTAGATAAACCCACCCCATGGGTACCCGCCCACACACATATAGTTACTTTCCCGGCATATTTAATATTCTAAATAATATATCTTCCTTAAACAACTAATATTCTTTATGTTTGTGGAGACATGTATAATTTGTTCTTTCTAATTGTTTAGAATGAAGTTGATATTATGAAGTGAAGAAAGAAGAAACTTAGTTGACGAGGAAGAAGCATTCAATTAATCTTATTGTTTATAGATGTTTATCTTTAATTTTGAACGATTTGTATTGATCATTTACGGTTTGCTTGTATGCTCTTGATTGGTGTTTTTTGTATGATTAATTTGTATGAGAAAATTGATGTTAAAATTTTATTTTGAAAGAAACTTGCTATTGTAAATTTTTTACTAGAAAAACCCACGGGTACCCATGAACTCGCGGATACCCAGTGGGTTGGGTTGGGTTTGAGTTTTTCAAACCCAACGGGTTTTACCCCGGATTTTTTTGGCGGATAAACCCATGGGTTTGGGTTTGACAAAACCCGCCCCAACCCGACCCATTGCTATCCCTACTCACATGGAATATTCAATTTCAATTTTTATTTATTTTCAACTCATAAAAAATAAGTAAAATAAAAAAATAGAACCCATTTTTCCTTCCTGATCCTTTCGCTTCGATTCCCCCAAATTCAGCAGCTCGACCTTCTTCCCCGATTTACAGGCAATGAAGAAGAGCTTGCTCTTGCAGCAGTTGTCGATGGCGACGAAGTCAAATTCACCAGTCTCCTCCTTCCCCCGCTCCATACCCTTCTTCTCCGAGCTCCCACCTTCAACCTGGTATCGACCGCCATTGAAATTCCCCGACAATGGAGAACTTGTGCCGAGAATCTAACCTCACATTGGGAAAGTTCCGCCAGTTGCAATTCCCCATACCCACAATTCGGGTTAACATCTTCTCCTTCGACCGGAATTTGGTCCCCGTAAAACCCCAACCTTTCCCTCTCATTCGACCACCCTTCCCCGCTCATAATGCATTCCACCCCTCTCCGCCTTCTTCATATGGAGGCGTTATTCTCGCCTCCTTCGGCGACTACCTCTGCCTTTGGGACCTCCATGATGACAACTTCGTTCAGCCCATCTCTGTACTCAATAACAGCAAAACCAACGAGTTATGCACTCCACATACCTCCTTCGATTGGAACATGAAGCATGCCCTGAGTCTTGTAAACTGATCGAGCAGAACCAAGTCGGAGCTGGGCTAGGGTAATCTCGCCGTCATCAAAGGAGGCTGGAGCGAAATCAGAGCCATCTTAACGAATTCGGGGAGCGATTGAAGAAGTGGAGAGGAGAAGGGTTTATTTTTTTAATTAAAATTATGATGTGGCCATCTACGTGTCCGCCATGTTTCAGCCACGCCACCAATGGTCAACGTCGTTTTGGCTACTCTTTGGTCAATCGTTATTTATAATGGTCAACAAAATCACCAGGACATAAATGACATATAATTATCATACGTGATAGATTGTCGGAATATTGAATACATTGGGACATAAGTGGCATTTTTATCATAGTTCAAGTTTTGTAGTGGAATTAATCCAAATTGTAAAAAATCGTTTGAAATTAGTGTAAGTTGTAAAGAGTACATAGCACAATATCCTGACCATAACAACCCGCAATCCGATTCGCTCGCAACCCCCCGACTCGTAGTCCGATTAACCCGTAACTCAATTGGCTCGCAACACGACTGTCCAATAAACAGATCAAGACATACTGCGATTGAGCCACAATCCGATTGACCCGAATCCAACTAACCAACAATCTAATAAACCAGAAATCCAAATAACCCGCAATCCACCCCACCCCAACCAATTGACACCTCTAGCTCCTCCAGCAGGAGCGCAAACATGTATGGATAATTACCAAGGTCATCTTTACATTTCTATGCAATTGCGGTACCAGGGAAAGAAACTAGGAGGAAGTACAAATATGTTGGGGGTAGTGTGTTGCCTTGCTGCGTCTTTTGTGTAAGACAGAGCTGCGTATGTTGCGGGTTGGGCTCGTCGGATACAACAGAACAGAAGAAAGACAAATGGAACGTTACAGTAGAATAGATAGCCGCTGTCATAAAAGGGCTTGGGCTTGGGCCTGGGCCGAGCCTCAGACCAGTCAAAGCCACTACGTTTGACCCAGACTAAATTTTCCACGGTCAAACTTCTTCCCTTGCCCTTTTAGTTTCTCAGAAGAAGCTGAGAGAGAGAATACAAAGCACTGGGATTAGGGATGGCAAATGGGTCGGGTTTTGTCAAACCCAAACCCAAATTCATGGGTTTATTCGCCAAAAAAACCAGGGGTAAAACACGTTGGGTTTGAAAAACTCAAACCCATCCCAATCCGCTGGGTATCCACGGGTTCATGGGTACCCGTGGGTTTTTGTGGTAAAAATTTATAATAACAAGTTTCTTTCAAAATAAAAGTTTAACATCAATTTTCTCATACAAATTAATCATACAAAAAACACCAATCTAGAGCATACAAGCAAACCGCAAATGATCAATACAAATTGTTCAAAATTAAAGATAAACATATATAAACAATAAGATTAATTGAAAGTTTCTTCCTCGTCGACTAAGTTTCTTCACTCTCCACTTCATAATATCAACTTCATTCTAAACAATTAGAAAGAACAAATTATACATGTCTCCACAAACATATAGAATATTAGTTATTTAAGGAAGATATATTATTTAGAATATTAAATATATCGGGAAAGTAATTATATGTGTGTGGGCGGGTACCCATGGGGCGGGTTTAACTAAACTCAAACCCAACCCGACTCGGTGAATAGTGTAGCGGGTTTAAACCCGAATCCGGTCCAAAACCAGTGGGTTCGGGTTTTGTTGCCATCCCTAACTGGTACTCTGCTATAGCCTATAAATCAACCACAAGACGGCCTTTCTCTTTTTCTCCTCAACTCCCATTTTCATGTCTTCTCCGCCATCCTCTTCTTTCACCAATCTCCTCCTCACCGGCAACAACAATAACAACAGCAGCAGACAAATGGACACAATCAGCTGGGGATTCTACGAAACGGATCACCACCTTAACAACCCATGTGGAAGCGCAGGTGGAGGAATCGAAATCCCCAAATTCAAGTCCTTCCCGCCTCCTTCCTTGCCGCTCTCCCCTTCTTCTTACTTCGCCTTCCCTCCTGGTCTAACCCCATCCGACCTCCTCGACTCCCCTGTTCTCTTCTCTTCAACTAATGTAAGTTCTTCTTTCTTCTTGAATAAACCAACCCACCCACCCTGTATCTCAGTTCGCTCAGGCTTGTTTTTTTGGTTTTGTTTTCTGATGTTATGTTTGTTTCTTCTGGGAAACAGCTTCTTCCATCTCCGACCACCGGAGCTTTTGCCCGCCAGACTACTTCCAACTGGACGAGCGATTACTCCGGAGCCGGGAACAATCAGCAGCAGCAGGTGAAGGGGAAAAAGGAAAACCATTACGATTTCTCCTTCCAGCCCCAAACCAGGCCTAATTCCTCCTCTTCATCCTCCTCCATCTTCCAGTCTTCCTCCGATGTTATCTCCACGGTGTGTGTTTTGAATTTTCAGTTTTCAGCCTTTCCCCCCCCCCCCCCCCCCCCCCCCCCCCCCCCCCCCCCCCCCCCAATTCCGTCTGTTGGGTCTGTTTCTGATTTGGGTTTCTCAATTCTGATTTACAGGATTCAATCACGAGGCAACAACCGCAGCAGGACGCCTGGAGTTACAATACACCGGCCACAAGCCAAGCTTCCGATCTCTGTTCAGCGGATAAGATCAAATCCGAATTCCCCGCAATCCAGAGCTTCTCCCCCGAAACGATACCATTTCAGAAGCAGCAGCAGCAGCTAACCAGCTACACGAACCACAACCCCACGGCCCACTACATGATGGAGAGCAGGAGATCGGACGACGGTTACAACTGGAGGAAATACGGCCAGAAGCAAGTCAAAGGAAGCGAAAACCCCAGAAGCTATTACAAATGCACTTTTCCCAATTGCCCCACCAAAAAGAAAGTCGAGAGGTCATTTGACGGTCAGATCACTGAAATTGTCTACAAAGGCAGCCATAACCATCCCAAACCTCAGTCCACTAGGCAATCATCTCACCATTCCATTCAGCCCTCCGGCAGCCCCGATCAATCGGTCAGCCAAATGGGTTCTGGGACGCACCACGACGACTCATCGTTATCCGTTGGTGAAGATGAGTTCGAACACAACTCCCCGCTCAGTAATTCAGCTGGCGATGAAGATGATGGCAATGAACCGAACGCCAAACGATGGTGAGTTTTTTGTTTTGCCAATCTTTGAACTAACCGGGTGTAAAGTTTCTTACGTACTGTTTCTGATATTTTTCTCCTGTTGCTTGCAGGAAGGGGCAGAACGAAAATGAGAGCCTGGTTGGTGGTAGTGGGAGCAGAACCGTTCGGGAGCCAAGGGTTGTGGTTCAAACAACGAGTGATATAGACATACTTGATGATGGATATCGATGGAGGAAATATGGGCAGAAAGTGGTCAAAGGAAACCCTAATCCCAGGTTGGTTTTTCTTTTCACACGAGGATTATCTTTCAATCTCTTTCACACTTGATCCTGTACAAATGACTGACCTATGGGGGACACTTGGTATTTTCTCTTCCACAGGAGCTACTACAAATGCACATTCGTGGGATGTCCAGTGAGGAAACATGTGGAGAGAGCATCACACGACCTGCGGGCTGTGATTACAACCTACGAAGGGAAACATAACCATGATGTTCCAGCTGCAAGAGGCAGCGGCTATCTCACCACCAGACCAACGACAGCTGCAACGAACCCTACTCCCGCAGCCATTCCCGTTAGGCCCTCTGTCATGAACAGTCATCATTCTAACAGCAGCGGAACCTACCCACATCAATCTCCATTCACCCTGGAGATGTTGCAGCAGGGTTCAGGGAGTTATGGGTTCTCAGGTCTTGGAAAGCCGGCAACTCCTACAGCAGGAGGAGGTTCCTCGTACATGAATCATCAATCCCAGTACAGCAGGATCCCTGAAGCTAAGCAAGAACCCAAGGAGGATTCCTTCTTCGATTCACTGCTAAGCTGAATGCCACCAAGCCAAAAATGACCTACAGTTTTGGTTGCAGCAGCAATTAGGATTTAGGAAAAAAGAAAACAGACATGCTTTATAGATGATAGGAGAGGGAGATATTGTTTACAGATAGAGAATGGGATTTCATTGGTTCATTTGTTTTTTTTACAGAGGCCTCCTACCCATGGGGAATGCAGAAATGGCCTCTGTTTTAGTTTTAACTTTTAACACAGAAAATTTAATTACCCAGTTAGTAGTAATGAACAAAGTTTTAATCTTTCTGTCCTGCCCATGTTTCTAGCAACAATACAAAGATGAGAAGTTTGAAATGAACAATTTCTTTTGATGTACTTTGTGTACAAATGGTATTTTCACAATAGATGAGAGCGGATACCATGACAACCCTTTAAGGGATTGTCAGATCCACAATTCATTTTCTAGCCATTGAATATGCCTTTTTCTGTCTCTTTTTTTTTTCTTTCTTTTCAAATTGACAACTAAGATTAGAAGAAAGGTATTTTTTAAAGAGAAAAAATTTATCACACCCAATCATTCACCCTCCCATATAAATAGAAAAAACCATAGCTCTTCCTTCCCACCCTCCTCCATCTCTTCTGCAGACGACCTTGTCGTCGCCGAGCTCCGCCGCTGCTGCTGCCGCCGCCGCCCTCCTCCTCCCTCCATCATTGTCCGGCTCTCACTATTGTCGCAGCCCTCCCGCCACCCATCGCAACCTCCACCTCGCACCAGCGCGGCGTCATCACCCTCTCCCCATTGCAGCCCTCCGTCTCCCACCATCGTCGCCGTCGCGAGGTCACCGCCTCTCCATTTCCTCATCCCCTGATTTTTTTTCCTACATATGCGATTTTCCAGATTCCAATTCTGGTTCTTTGTGTTAGTCTCTAGTGGTAGCGTTACCAGTGGTAGTGGTACCACTAGCACTGGTAGCGTACCAATATCACTGGTAGCGATAGCCGTGATAGTGGTAACGTACGACTATCACTGGTAGCGTATTACTAGTACTGGTACCACCAGCACTCGTACCATTGGTAGCGCTAACAGTGATAGTCGTACCCTACCAGAGAGCAGTGGTAGCGTACCACTAGACGAAAACACTACCATTAGCATACTGACAAAGTAGTACATTTTCGTAGGTGGTCGGAGCAAGTACGATTGAAGGATTTCACCGGAAAAATTCTGTTGGTCGGAGAAAGTCAGCTAGTCAGAGTGAAGTGGCTTCTGAAAAAGAAGGAGAGAGAGAGAGAGAGATAGGAAGAGATAGAAATGTATTTGTGGTAAGATTTGAATTTCAAAATAAAGAATTGTATTTAATGTGGGTTTTAAATTTCCAAAATATAATTAATACAAAAAAGAAAGTAATTAATAAGATCTTTTTGTAGACTACCCAATTTGCCATTGATTGTCAAACTCACAACCCCATTAGGACTTGACACCATATCCGCTCCCCCCTAAAAGAATAACAAGAGAAGGAAGGAGACGAAATGGAAAAAAGAGGTCTTCTAAATATAAGATTTGAGTGAAAAAGCCCGTGTTCAGAAACGACAGAAGAGAAAGCAAGGGCGATGAATGCGAGGAGTGGCAAGCTGATAGTTGCTGCCAATGTGTTTGTGAATAAGTCGCCAGCACCTTCTAGCACTATGCCTAAAAGGTACTTCGTACCTGGACATATGATTCCATGAGGAGGAAAGATTCATGGGGATGGTAAGTAGCGAAAGATGGTCGGTACGCGGTAAAGCTATCCGATCCCAAGCATATCCTCAAAGGGCACTCCGAATCCGTGAGGATTGGTTGCCTCTCACGTGAGAACCTCATTTTCAAAAGATTATTCTCTCTTTTCTTTCTTTTCTGATACGCACAAACTTGTAAAAGCTTCGAGTTCACTAGACAAACAAAAGAGAATCCCGCACACATGTTCTTCCTAAAATAGCAAACATTATTAACTCATAAAGAGGAAGAAGATAATAAAATCCCTCATAGACTGGTACTATAATCATGCAACTATCACCTAGTGAGCACAACACATTAATTATCTATCAAATTAAAGCATATCGAGTAGGAAGTTGCAAGGAAAAAGGTGATTTGGAACCCACAAATTTGAATTTTTTTTGGGTAATGCACTCAAGATTCCAAAACATTATCATTTGACCATTAATCACCACAACACAAATGCAATTGCTAGCATACACTCTCATAGGCATTCATCAACGTCTTACATTCATAAACAATGGAGGATACTAGCAATTCATGGTTCAACCAATCATGATAATCATTCAAACATTCACACACGCCCCCCCACACTTGAGCAACACATTGTCCTCAATGTGAGAGTTTCATAACAGAAGATTGCGAAGGTTACCATAGGTTGGGTTGTGGGTTGGCGAAGGTACACAAGTGTAGGTCTTTGTCTTCCTGGTGGTTTTCATAACGATAAAGCGCATACGAAAGAGAAAAAGACGAATAAGAGTTATAGGTACGATAGATATAATATAAGTACTAATACTACTTGAGCTATAATATTTAAAGTACGAAAAAGTAAAACGAGAATAAAGTAGTAATTAAACATTATTTTAATTAAAATAAAAGAAAAGCAAAAGAAAATAAAATAAAATATATAACTTAGGACCTGGATGCCTAGTACTCAATCCTTCTTGGAGGTGTCATTAAAGTGGTGATTAATTCACCGTTGGTCTTTACCGCAGTGATAGATTCACCGTTGTCAATTTAAGCAGTGATTAATTCACCATTTTTCTTCAAGGTGGTGATGCGTTCACCATTGTGGTTTTTGGCGGTGATTGATTCACTGTCTTCGACCACAACGGTGATGGATAAACATGTGTACTTTAGGGAATTTTTTTATAACTTATGTATTTTTCGTAATTTTTTAAAAAACTAGTGTATTTTGAGTTTTTTTTCCTGTATTTATGGGTTTTGAATGAATGTGTTTGTCTAGTTGATTTTACTGCTTCATCTAGCTTTAATTGTGCTTGGGTAATTCGCCATAATCTTCTCTACTAGCCTACTTGAGCTTGTACGCTGGGTATGGAGTTTTAGGATTAGACGTGTATGCGCCATTTGGCAAATTAGGGTTAGATGAATGAATAGGGTCTTGTGGTGGACGAGGCGACCGAAATCCTGCCACAAGAATGCCTTCCTAGACAGAACTCGGGATGGAACCTTGGTGTGGATGGTGGGTAGTACTCATTGAAATGAGCTAGGTTCTTAAAGCCCCATATGCGTGATCTTATACCGAGGTGACAATGGGGTAGGTGGGGTGTACCCGGATGCGTGTGGATAATCACGAAGGCCCACAGAAAACAACTCACTCACCATATTCTCTTAACCGTACAGGACAACCATAGTTAGGAGTATTTGACCCTAGGAAACCGTCTCAACTCTAGAGATCTCCCAACCACTTGGTTGGTTGTTTAGGAGTAGGTTAGGTTAGGTTAGATTCTTCACCAAAATTTTGACTCGATTAGATAGTTTCAGAGCAAAGTAATAGTAAGCTTAGGGTTCCCTTGGAATAAGACCGAGTCACTTTACTACAACCTTAGCTATGTTATGCTTGGCTTAGTTAGGATTGAATAGAGAGTGTGCATCGACTTATAAATTTAAAGCTCGATCACGCAAGCGATCAGTAGTCAATCATAAGATTTGTCACATACACCAACAATCAAACCAAATTCTAGAACCAAGGCTCATCAACCTAATTGAAGGAAGTTATTTCATAGAGAGAAGAAGAGAGAATACAATAGGCTTCAAGGTCTTCAATCTTTATCTTCTAGGGATGATCTTAAAAATCCAATGGAGTTTGGCACCTCCAAAAGGGCTCCAAGAATCCTCCTAGGTCACTCAATATCTATAATCGCCCCTTGTTTTTTTTTTTTTGGGTAAAAAACCCAGCTCCCTTTGCTCAAAGCCCACTGCTGTTAATTTATACCCGCAGCAGTGCACACTTCACGGTTTCTATGTAATATTTTCACCCTCAGGTAGTGAACTTTGCACAAGGCCGCGAGATGCATGCTAGCTACTTGAAAAATGTAATGTTCACGGTTTTGGTTAAATTTTCACTACCCGTGATCGTGAAAATCACCCTCAACACGTGAACATTGCACAAACTCCACTTTTTAGCTCGTATTGACATCCAAATGTCCCGAAACACGTCCCAAAGCTTTCCATACTTACTACGACCTGAAATATGACAAAAGAAGCACAACCTAGAGTAGAATAGGCCGGAGAACGATGATCACCAAGCCAAACAATCAAGATGTGAAGGGAAAACATGTATAATTAGCCTCAAATCAGGTTAACTATCATGTAATGGCCTAGACTGAAATTATGTTAGGCTCTCGATCTAGTGTAAATGAACAACAACTATCATGCAATGAAAAACATCTATCGATCTCTGCTTTCTACTAGCAATAAGGTCTTGTGCATGAATGATCATTTATGTGTTTTCTAGCTATTAGATCGGGACCAAGGTTTGATCAACAACTTCAATTCATTGTTTCACAGACAAATTGCAACATTACCAAAACTACCTTACATCCAATTTGTACACTAACTTCTACATGCCAAATTGGCGCATCCACAAACAAGAAGGCATTCAATACAATAACAACTCTAAACTATATTGAATTATACATACATCATCATTCACTCTCGTCCCTTCAGATAACATAATTTCATGAGCCTTCATCCACATTCTCATCTCTTCAACTAACATTCCTCCTCTCTTTCTTAGACTGAGCTAGATGTAAACTCTCTTCCAACATCATGTGAGACTGCATGATCACTCATTTGTGCGTCAATTTGGTATCCTAGTTAGCGTATCATTAACATAACTGACAGTGTCACTTACAACATTTGAAAGAGAGGGAGAGAGATATATGAGTGATTTTGGAGAAATTTGAGGTTACCATCACCGTTGGAGCTAGAAGATCAATCCAAGACATGAAGATGGAAGATTTAGAGCTTTTTACTATAAACTCTCTCCTCTCTATGCAATAATTCTCCATCACTCAGGTTTTGAGTGAGTTTCAGGGCATTTAGAGGTCAAAACGAGCCAAAAGTGGAGGTTTTATCAAAGTCATGGGCTAGGTCATGACTTCTGATTTTTTTTCACAAGTCACTACCATAGTCGTGACTTGAGCAAAAAGGGAAGAACGATTTCCAAAGTCATGGCTGGAAGGCCATGGCCGTGACTTTAACACCTAGGCCATTGAGGTACAGGAGAAAAAATGACATTGCAAAGTTGTGATTTTCTCCGATATCATGGCCTATGTCAAATATATAGGTTGTTTGCCAATTTTGAGAGGACAAAGCGGGGTTTTTGGCCAAAAACGATCAAGGGGCATTGATAACGATGTAATTGCACATATTTACGCCCCTAGTTCTTATCCGTTTGAGGGGCATAGTCGTGTGTTTTGGCCTATTTTACGCCGGGTTGTGCTATTTTGTCATGTTTCAGGTCCCAGGCGTTAAAGGGAAGGCTAACCGCGAGTTTCGGGGCATTTGGAAGTCATTTCGGTGAGCTGGAGCCAAAACACGGGCAGCCCAAGGAATTACACGGCCGTGTACTGCTGGCCGTGTTTTTTTATGCCAAGAGCAAATTCAGTTTGGCCAATTCAGCTGCAAACACGGGCACCGAAGCACGGCCGTGTTTCCTCCCACTGCTGGCCGTGTAATTAAACACTGGCCGAAACACGGGCAGGCTCAGGCAAAGCACGGCCGTGCCCTCGACCGTGCTTTGGCCACTGATGCTTTTAAGCAGATTTTCAGCCACAATTCAAGGGGATTCGAGTTTTTGAGAGAGAGATAAGTTCCTAGAGAGAGAAAGTGACGAGCAAGAGTTCCCAAGTGCCCTAGATTGATCTTCAACACCATTGGAGGCCAGTTTGAGCTTGGAGAAGTGCCAATCAACGTCCAGAATCAGGAATCCATCCTTCGCAGTATGAATTCCGTGTCTGATTCTGCTTTTGCTTTCTTCTCTATGAAGTAGTTCTCCCATTCATCTGGGTATGGAGAACCCTAGATTTGTATGTTAGGCTTTGATTGTATGAACCCAAGTACTGATTCCGTGATTGATTATATTCGATTGAGGTTTTAATGATTGAATGACTTGAATCCTGATCAAATTCCTGTTGTTTCTGCTTTAACCTAGAATGAGAATATCTGCCTAGGTTAATAGAGTATCCTTGATTGAAGGTAGGGAGTTGGTGACTTTAGTCGAGGAGCCAACTCACTATTCTGTACCGGATTTACTCCGGTAGTGGAGGTTTTGTTCTTAGGGCCTCAATCTGTCGACTCCGGTGGAGGTTAGTCGCCCGCTAGAGAGTCAGATTGAGAGGGTCTGAAGACCTTTAGTCGAGACTTCAGGCTGTTTGAGAACCTTCCGCAGTATAACTGTCATAGAAACTGAACTTGGTAATTACAATCCGGCTTAACTGCAGTCTAGGGGGAACCATATCCGGGTGACCTCTTTAACCTGAATACAACCAGTTTACTTGCTTTGTTTGTTTGGTAGTTTAGACTTGCACTCCAGTTTTATTGCTAGATAACAAGAACTCACTGAGTAGTCAGCAAATCTAGGACCCGGGTTGATAATTAAACCTAAACCCGCTATACTACGCTTTAGGAAGTGGTTACACTTGGCCAATTCCTGGAGTGACAGTAGAGTCGAGTCAAGTTTTTGGCGCCGTTGCCGGGGACGGCTAGGTTGTTGAAGAAAAGTGATTTCTGTTAATTTAGCTTTTCTTTTTACTTTGTTTTCTTTGTCCCACTTGTGCCTTCACGGGTTTGTTGCTTGAGTGTGTGCAGGTAGTGCATGACCCGTAGCCAGTCGGGAGGTTTACTGCCGTTGAATCCAGAGATTGACCGCACCTGTTGCCAGCTCAGGAGACAACAGCGAGCTAGACTGGCTACGGAAGAGCGCATAGACGGCCACCTGAGCAGCGATTCTGAAGAAGAGCACGGGATGGACGGAGACTACAACCAACACCAGGGGAATCCTCAGCAGGTTCCCCCGGTGAATCAGGTCCTGGGGAACAACCCCATACCCCAGGACCATGGAGTTCATCATCCCCCGCAGCCGGGTCCCACATTGGAGTACTACTACACTCCGCGGATTGCTGACATCCGCCCGGTCATCCTCTACCCGCCGATCCCGGCAAACAACTTCGAGATCAAGCCATGCTGGATTCAGCTCATCACATCTTCTATCCAGTTCCATGGCTTGAAGAATGAGGAGGCCAGGGTGCATCTTTCCCGTTTTCTACAGCTGACGAACGGGTTCAAGCTGAATGGTGTCCCCGATGATGCGATCCGCCTTCATCTCTTCCCCCATTCTCTGGCGGGGAATGCTAAGAGGTGGTTGGAGACCCAGCCCCCATTTTCCATCACCTCTTGGGACGATCTGGCTGACAAGTTCGTGCACAGGTACTATCCGGCATCGAAGACTACAAAGATTCAGCGGGAGATCACTCATTTCCGCCAAGAGCCAGATGAGTCACTTCGTGATGCTTGGGAGCGGTACATGGGATACTTCTGGCAGTGTCCCCATCATGGCTTTAGTGATCCTTTCACTGTGGGGAACTTCTACAGCGCTCTCTCCCCAGATAGCCAGAGGGTGATTGAGTCTTTATGCCCAGGAGGGGATGTTCTCACTAAGACTCCACCCGAGCTGAACCAGATGATTAATACATTGGCTGCCAGAGATCATTCCTGGGGGCAGAGCAGCAGAGGCAGACATTCCAGGGACCGTGGTGTGCACGCCATGGAGACCAGATCCGGGCTCGAGCAGCAGGTAGCTGAGCTAGTGCAGACATTGAAGCAGCCCAACAGTCTTATTCCGGGCAGAGGTTTGGCTACACCTCCAGTTGTTCAGTGTCAGTGGTGTGAGAGCTCCAGTCACCTAGTGGAGGACTGCCAGGCTATGAGGGAGTCTACCACACCCCAGGAGCAGTTGGCCTTCATCGCCAATGCGAGGCGCCTCGATCCATACAGTAGCACATATAATGAGGGGTGGCGCCAGCATCCCAACTTCGCCTGGAGCAGCAACACCACTAAACCATCTGGTTTCCCAGCACCAGCAGGTGGTTTTCAGCAGAGGCAGCCCTTCCAGGCTCGCCAAGGGCCAGACCCACAGCAGCCCTACCAGCCTAGGCAGGGGCAGCCATTCCAGCAGCCCCAGCGCCAGTTTGCCGAGCCTGCAGCAGCTCCAGCCCCAGACGACAGGATGACGAAGCTGGAAAACATTCTAGCTTCATTCATGACTAGCACCCAGGCTGCTATCACATCACTGGATGCAGGTCAGCGGAACCAGGGTGCTATTTTGCAGGATCTGCAGACCCAGGTGGGCATCTTGGCCAGGCAAAACACTACCAGGGCACCGGGGACTCTGCCTGCCACCACCGTTCCTAATCCTCGAGATCCTCACCAGCATCAGCAGCTGGATGCCATTTTTACCAGGAGCGGTAAGACCATATCTGCTGATCCTGTCCCGGCCA